GTCTGTGGCACAACAGGAATACGACTGTGAACTTGTGGCGCGCCGCAATGCGGAGTCAGAGATCATTCGTCTGCGAGTCTTACTTTCTGGCCAAGTTGCCAAGCTGAGTGCCTTGACGGGCGAGAACAGCCGACGGGAGGCACGGCGACAACTGTCGGAGGAGCTCACTAAAAACCTTGATCGACTCGAAAAGGATCTCTCCAAGCTCAAAGCTGAGCGGGATGTTACGTTAGCAGAGGTCGAAGAGCTGTGCTCCTCAAAGAGGCAAGCATACATCGCATCTATCATCACACAGCATCCTCACTGGTATACAGCGCTCCTGGCAGTGTATCTTCGGGTGACCTTTCAGTCACCCAGCTCAGTCGTTCATTAACGATGCGGTTGGACAACATCAAGAGGCAATATCAGCACGAACTCATCCCACTCACCCAGCAACGCGACTCGCTCGTCAGAGAGATCGCCGAACTCAAGTCGGCGCGCGAGCAATTCCTAGAGGAGACCACGGTGCTCAACGCTAGGAACGAGGTACTCGCCCAGCTCAGTGCTCAATACACTCGACGGGTAGAGGTTCCCCGGTCCGACGCCCCGTTATCCCCCGAAGTAGTTCTCGCGAAGCCAGATCCTGTGTCGCGCGAGAAGAACAGCACGTCCTTTGATCGAGTTCGACCCAGTCAAGAACTCTCGGCCCCAGTCCAGCCGTCGATTAGTACAAGATCAAATCCCAGCATGTCGACGCTCGTTGATGACCATGATATCAAGGTGATCCGAGCGCCCAAGCCCGACTTTACCGATGCCATCCTCCCTCCAAGACACGGCATATTCAAATGGCCAGGCAACCGGATGAGGGATCCTATGCTTGCACCCTTGGACCCCAGAGGCAAGAACTTTGAGCACAACTTCCAGTGTGCGAGCGCCCTTCGGTTCACGCGCTGCGACCATTGTGGAGATAAGCTGTGGGGTGGATCACACTTTCGTTGCACGAGTGAGTCGTCTTGGTGTATTCGTCTCTGGTAGTCGTGCTCATGCTTGACTCAGCTTGCCATATCAACGTCCACTCCCGATGCGTGAATCAAGTCCACCTCACGTGCTCTCAGCATCCTCCACGTCCGCGGGAAGATTTGAACGGCATGGCGCAACAACGTACGCTGGTCAAACGTGCGAATGTGTTCTTGTGACTCACACTTTACCAGTTCCTTCAATCTTCGGTCGTGAACTCGCCGAGCAGGTCAAATTTGACATGCGATGGGGCGAACGCAAAGTCCCTGTCCTTGTAGAAAAATGTATAGATGCAGTCGACACGCTGGGTCAGTCCCACCTCCGTTGTAAAGACACACTGCTGACGTGTTCACAGCGCTCGACTTTGAGGGAATCTACCGCAAGACAGGAGGCTTGAGCCAAACCAAGATGATCACACAACTCTTTGACCGGGGAGACTATACAGCTTTCGATCTCAGAGATGTCGACCGATTCAACGACATTTGCTCAGTGACATCTGTGCTCAAGACCTACTTCCGCTCACTTCCTGTACCTCTGCTGACATACGACCTCCATGAGGAGTTCATCGCCGCCGCCGGATTGAAAGATTCCCCACTGAAAACCAAGCAACTCCAAGAGATCGTCGACCGTCTTCCACCCGAACACTATCACACTCTACGGCTTCTTGCGCTCCACCTACATCGGTAAGCGTCTCTTGGATTCTCAGCCATGCGTAAGGACCAACGGCGATAACTGCACAGCGTGCGAGACCACAGTGACATGAACCTAATGACTGCACGAAACCTGGGTGTCGTCTTTGGACGTAAGTATCTAGTCCGTCGGATCATGCCCTTCGACGCTAATTACGCTCGCCCGGTCCCGTCGACTTAGCAACACTGATGTGGTCAAGAGACCCGGCTTCAGAATTCAGCGATATGGCCGGTAAAGCGCTGATGGTCGAGTGGCTCGTGGAAAACGCCCCCACGATCTTTCAACCATGATCCTTTTTTGATCATTTTCTTTGCGGCCGTTGTAGAGCGCGTACTTTTTTATCCTATTGTACCCCACCTATTCGCTCGTTTGCTGTACGACCCTGTTCCTTTTTTACAACTAAATTATTACCTCTCTCCTGGTGTTTGGGTTTGGCAGGACGCCATCATTCGACTTTGTGCTGACATACGTGTCTTTTTCTTCTTTTTCTCATCATTGGGTCACACGATGACTCGGACGGATAGCATTTTTTAATCCATTTTTTATACATCATTCTTTCGTCCGACATTGCTAGCTAGCTACATTTACATTTCGCTTTTTTTTAATGAGCTCGGGCGCGCACAGATTACACGTTCAGTTTTTAGACGTTTTGGATACCTCTCCATGGATATCGAAAAGTTGGTCGTTGAGGTGGACGTAGAGGGTATATGAAACGGAAATACACACTACCTCCACAATGGGAACAAGAGAGGAAAAAAAAAGGGGGGGACGGGACGAGACGGAATGAAATTAGGGTACCAGTGTCCAAGCCAAGGACGCGATCGGATCAATATTCAGCAACAGCATTTGACAAAAAAGAAAAAAAAAAAAAAAAAAAAGACTGCAAGTGTGTGTGTGAGGGTGAGTCCAATAAAGCAAGCGGTATCAAATGGAACGAGAACAATGTCACTGATCACGTCAAGGAAGCTCGCGAGATCGGCGTATCCGAGGGGCCGGCTTGTCTGGTTTGAGCGTGCAATAGAGGAAATGCCGACGAGGGCCCGAGGCAGCGGCGGCGGCGACGGCTGCCACGCGCGCGCCGAGCGGTGCTACCGTAGCATCGCTCCGGATTCCAAGTGAAAACATCCGGTCAAACACTTGAGTGTGCAGGGAATGCGATTACTGATCAGCCGATCGAGGGAGGCAGTTAAATTCGTACTTACGGGTAGCTGTAAACGCTTTGGCAGTCGTTTGACACGCGAGGTGTGTCAGCGACAATGGGGGACTGACACCCTCGAGATTGCGGAGGTAGCGGTAGACCATCGAAGGTTGGCAAGGGCCTAGATGAAGTCAAGGGGTGGGAATGGTAAGTGGTTGGGCGATGCGGCGGCCAAGATAGTGGTAGTACGGACCGAATCTAAACACAGCATTGTACGCCTGTCGCCACTTTTCCTCGAGTAAACGAGCACAGGTGGCTGGATCTGGACACGTCGGACACTGCCAAAACGAGATGAATCAGGGCCCCAAAGGCGTACAGGGAACAAGGGACGGGCCCACGTACGCATTGATACTCCTTGGCCAGGGGCGTCAAGCCAAGTTTCAAGACACGTTCGAGGAACCAGTTGCGTCTAAACACCGTCGCGTGAGACGTGCTTTGAAATGCGGAACAGCAACACGAGCGTTGGCGTACCGCTTTTCCAGTTTCAGGAGCGTTTCTTGGCTGAGGGTGCTTAGCTCCTCCTCGGACCATCCCCCAGGATTATCGAGCACGAAACGACTCGATTCGCGATAGAGCTCTTCTTCCTCAAAGAGCTCCGCGATGCGCATGGCTTTAATGGGCTTACCAGCAGCATGGGTGAGGAGAAAGGTCAGGCATTCCTGCTGGAGTGCTGGAACACAGAGCTTGTGTGAGATATTCATGAGGCCCTCGACGTTGTTCCAAGAGATGTTGCAATGAAGACTGTGTTGTATTCAGACCGTCGTGCACGCGCGTCCACAAGACAGACTTACTGTGGATACACGAATTTGAGGAAGTCATGAAAGATGCTGGCCCTTTCTTCTTTGAGGACAATGACAGCATCTTGTTCAGCCGTACGCCGCCGTCTCCTCACAGTGGCAAGCGTATTTTGAGATCCCGAACGGTCTGACTTGTGTTTGCCCTTGAAATCGTGTTTCATAGCGTCCCCAGAGCCTTGGAGCTTGGCGAGGCTTGCTCCCTGAGCGTGTGCTTTGCGCATGCTCATCGACGTCGCGGATTCAAGCTGTTCAGGTTCGCTCTCGCTCGTTTCGCTCTCACTCGTGGGAGGGTTCCTGATCTCTACGGGCGATGAGCAGTCGGACGCAGTATCACTGGCACTGCTGTCATGGGTATCATCGTCATGGGTAAAGGTCATGGCCGCGGACACATCGGGATTGGACTGGCTTCCTGGGACGGAGGGTGGCTGAGAGATGGTGATGACGGAGGACATGGATGGTGGACGACCAGTCTCGAGCCAACTGCCACTCAAGGCAGCCTCGAAGAATGGAGAAGCAAAGAACAGTACCTCCTTGTGAGCCCTATTACGAAGGAACGCGTGTTTAGCGAAGATGCATGATGTGGCGCCGTGGTCGGGGACGACCAAGTGAGAGGACCCACCAGAACGTGGTGCTCTCGACGACGATCTTGACGGTGCCCGGGAATCTTCCGTTGCGCCGGGTAAAGGTATCGTCGATCTCTATCGCGCGTTCGGACTCGTACAGGCTGAGTTCTGTGTCGAGTTCATCGTTATCACATTCTTCGAGAAGCCAAGGCGGAGAGCCGGAGGAACGGAATATGCCCGCTGCGGCTGCGTGGGTTTCTGTAGGGGAGCTGAGTGATGCAGAGGGGTTATTTGGTCCCCGCGAATTACGAGCGATGAGGATGTGGGAAGGATTGGTGCTTAGCATGCTGCGAAGGGAGGGCAGCGTGGTGGTGGTCGACAACACAGCGCTTGGACGCCAGTTCACACCCCAGCTAGCTACTACGGACGCAGCCGGTCGGATGCTTTCTGGTTGCTCTACCCTTCGCTTCGGTGCTGTTGGAGATTCGTTGCGGTTAGTGCTTGATCAGTGACGAGAACGCGGCGATAGTCGGCCACAGTAATGCTGCATGCTTGTCTAATGGGAGACCTCTGTCGACTCCTCGAGGACGCGACCGTCTCTCGGTACGGCTGCATTCTCCCCACAAGTAGCATTAGTACTCGCTGGCCTCACTTCCACCAGCCTGACAAATGCAGCTCGTTGGGATCGTCCATTGACACTTGAAACACTCGAACCCGATCTGGATCGAGATGCTGAATGTATTTTAATTCTGATATGGCCTTGTAGTGTAGCGGTTATCACTTGGGATTCTGATTATGCTTATCTTCCCAAGACCCAGGTTCGAGTCCTGGCATGGCCTCACTTTTTGCGATTTGCACTTTGCCTCCTCCACTCAAACGTCTGTTCCGTGAGTAACGGTTGTCAAAAGAACACGACTTTCTTCGGTTTGCTAGACAGCTTGTTTTTACCAAATGCTTTCACCAATCCCGTGTGCGAACCCGCCTTCACATCTAGCCGTTTTCTCCGCTGATCTTCCTTCTTCTCTTCTTTTGATATTTCCGTATTCTTTCGCTTGAACGCATGGAAGTCATCTTCGTCTGCACCACCTCCACCTCCAGTACCAAAGACCGTTGTCGCAGTCGTCCCCACCATATCTTTCTTTCGAAGTTCGCAGTTCTTTGCAAGATGCATTTTCTCGCCACAGAGTTTACAGCTTCCTCCGTTGGGATATATGCCCTTCTCCTTGTTTTGCGGACATGCTGAAGCGAGATGACCCTTCCCTGAGCAAACGAAACAGGAAGCGAAAGGGAAAGGGTTGAAAGGATCTTCTGGTTTCTTGCAACGAGCTAACGTGTGTTTCGTCGAACCACATCTGTCCATCGAGTAGTGAGAGACAACTCGGAAAGGAAAACACAAGGCTAACCTGTAACACAACCCGACTACGGTGTTGGCATTATTTCGACCTTCTCCGCCTTCGCCGCCTGCCTTGGGACAGGTCTTTGCAGCATGGCCTTTTTCGCGACACACAAAGCATACAGTGTCAACGAGACGGTCAGATATTCTTTTGAGTCGACGCTGCTCAGTGCGCTTATTGTAACCGCTGATCGCAACATCTAGCCAGAGATATTCAACATTCCACGGCCAAGGACGAAATACAGATGCCCACTTTTCGATCCATCGCGTTTTTTCGCCATCGCTGCCTTTTTGTGCTTGGGAACGGACGGCCCCCAATTGGACTCTCCCTTGCCTTGTACGCCCGCTTCTCCTTCTGCCTCATTTCCACCCGACAATTGTCCATCGCCACCATCTACCCTTTGCTTCTTTGTTTTCTTCCGTTTCTCCTTTGGATGCACGGAATCTCCCTGATCCTCATCTGCAGTCGCCACAAGTTGGTTGGATGTCGCCGTCGACTCGCTCGTAAACCCGGCTTCCAAGTATTTGCGCTTTCGACCAAAGTTTGTGGTACGGGTCATGCTGGTGCGCAACGTTGCACAGCTTCGGTGACCGAGGACATGATGGTTCGACTATATGCGGCAATATAGCCCCTTTCTCTCTTACAAACAACAAGTGCGCGGTGAGGACTGTCACGTGCTCGCCTTGTTGATTGATAGTGCTGTGACGTCACAGTCCGAATTCCAATCTCTTGTACTCCAAGTAAGTATATGCGTCGTTGAACGTTGCAACGTTGAGCGCTGAGCCTCGGTGGCATTCACGCTAGCATGTCCCGCTTCAGGAAGCGATATGTACACGCACTACGTCGCAGCATTCCAACACATCCCGGGGCGGACAACACCCGCCAACACATAGATCGTGATTGTGCTTTCTTCTCTCTAGAAAGACACGCTGCGCGTTCCCCAGCTTGGCCTTACCCACTGCCATCATGATTATTCCCATTGTCCGAGTGAGTGATGACATCACCTTGAACTCGCACCCTGACGTAGCAGCATTCCAACTCATCCGTCAGGTGACCCCCGCCAGCGTATAAATACCTGGACCTTCGCGCTGACCTCTTCTCTCTCAGAAACATTCACTGCGCGCCCCCCTCCCTCTGCCTTCGTTGCCTCTACTGTCCCTCACCTTTTACTCGTCATTCGATATGATCAACAACAACGTCGCCTCTGTTGAGGACGTCGCTCATTCGTCCCTTTCGCCCGCTGGGCGGGTTACCCAACGTTGCACGCCGGGTTGCTCCCCTGCGTCTTCCCCGTCACAAGTAGTCCAATGCTCTAGCAATCTCGCCGACTCGCCGGCGTCCCTACCTTCCCAAGCACCGTCCGCCACCTCGTCGACCGGCCACTTCTCGTTCCACTTCGATCAATACGAAGAGTGGACGGACGAGGTCGAAGCTCGCATGCAAAACGAGATAGATCGAATGCTGGAGGATGCTCGGAGAGTGCTCACCGAACCTGTCCACAACATCTCCGAGCTCTTCCCCGACGATCTGTTGGCCGATTCCGTCGCACACCAGACGGCAGCCGACAGCCTCGCGTCGCGTTTTGCAGCCGCGGACGACATGATCAGGGAATTGGGAGCGATTGCGGAAGACGACATCTGGGAGGAGTTAGGTACATATGTACCGCTGAGTCCCATCCCCGAGGAATCGCTGGCCGACGAGTTCGTCGTTGAAGAGGACGCCCACTCTCCTCCGCAGTCGTTCAAACATGCGATCTGCTTTGAGGTGGGTCCCATTTTATTTTTCGTTCGCTGTGGGGGCTGACAAATATCGACAGGAGCGCCAATGGGTCACAGTCCGCATCGCGACGAAGAGCTCCGGCGAGCCACCGATTCCACCAACGCCTCCTGACGTCTACCTACGACAGAGGCGGCGGCGATGGAAGCCCCCTGACCCCTCCCTTATAGTATGATGATAGTTGCTTGTCCGTCATCGAGTGCTGATCCCGGATTTTGACAGGCGTTGCGACCACCCACCTACATCCTATCCATCAAATCGAAAAGCAAAAAAAAAATCAGAAAACTATACAAAATCGATCAGAGGCGACCATGGAGTCGAACACTGAAAAGCAGGTACCCTTCAAGAGCACGTCTTGCGACCTTTGACCCGGTGAGTTTTGGCTACTATTCTCTCCTGACTCTGCGTTGACGCTCTGCAAGGGCAAAGTTATCATGATAGATGTCCCTAGAGCGTCCGAGCATCCCATTGTTGCCTGTGGTACGTCTGTCCGTCTCGTCGTACCCTGCCATGCTAATCTAGTTGCAGTGTATTCGTGAAACGCCAGCCAGGGCTGGCGGCCGACTACACTCGGGAATTCGGGATGCAAAGTCACGACGCAGCTAATGCTGCACCGTGATCACAGGACGTTCGGGAAACATCGCTCTTGCAAACACCCAATCCACATCCCTTTGGTGGAATGGCATTGTGGCAAGAGAAGCTGTCATGTGAACCTGGTGATTTGTGTCGAGGGTACTCGAGCTTTAGCAGTGTTGGGATTTCTTTCGTCTCTGCTCTCATATTTTTTATTATCTCATTCCGATCGCTCGCGTTGAGCCAGCGTATATGTATGGTTTTGTTCCATTCTCGTTTCCATTTCGTTGTATATTCGTCTCGCTCATGTATTTCCCCATCTTCGGAATATGTATGTAGTTCTTGTTATAGTAAAGCCGGAGCAGGCAGCGGAAAGGCCTTGTCTACTCCTCCCAATTCTGCTTCGACAACACTCGCGATCTCGCCGCGTGAACGGCTTCCATAGACGGGCTGGGTCCCAGACTTGGTGCTTGAAGCGACGTTTCCGAATGCCCGGTATCTTTGGGTTGGACCACAACGGCTCGAGAGACAAAGAGAGTCCGACAGACTCACCGACTCGGAGCCTGAGGTCTGAGGCGGCAAGCCAGATATCCTCGAGAACGAGTTGTATGGTCCAGATCCATATGACCCTGTCTTTCCACTCCCCTCACAGCTTTCGACGAACAAACTGCGCCTCGTCCCGTTCGTCCCTCGCATTCACGCTGCGGCCTACCTCGATGGTATCCGCGGAAACGAGTCCATGTTCAAACACTTGCCCAGCGCTCTCGAACACCCAGCCGACTTTTCTCCAATTCGTCGAGAAATGTCAGCGGGGATGAGAATGTCGTGCCGTTCGCAGTGATCGATGCGACGCGTCCAGATCCCAATCATCCCGAGTGGGAGGGCTCATTAGCGGGCTTGCTCGGACTCGAGGAAACCGACAAAACGATGTTGGTCACGGAGATCGGTCTCGCAATCGTTCTTCCTGCCTTTCAACGGACACACATG